GCGTTTTGACGCGGTTTTGGGAGAGCGCAGCACACGCAGTTTCCTATGGAGGGTACTGAACAGCCACTTTGACCAAAAAAAAATGAAAAATGAAAACCCCAATTTTCAAACAAATATGAGTGATTCCAACCGCCAAGTTGGCCAAGTGGATCTGACATGTATGTCATACACCCTGACAATACATCTCAAACATTCCAATACATACAAACTATGTGATAAGCTCCCTGGAGCCAAAGTACCTACCATCCTCAACACATAACACATACACCACAGCTCTTTGACCGATGAATCAGCTGGCAACCGAGCTCAAGAAACACTCTTCTCACCAACTGCTGACCCTACCAGACCAACCACTTGACACACACCAACCACTCGATCACACACCAACAACTCAAGACCACCCCACCAGATTACTACATACACCAACCATCCATCATGCGTGCCTCAATGCGATCTTTTGGTGACGATTTCGAGGCTGAGGTTTCTCTTCTAGTTGAATCTGGCCTGACAGACGCTGAAATCCGCAAACATATTCAAGACACGCACGGCATATCCGTCTCTAAACGAACACTCACACGAAGGAAGGAAGATTGGGGACTTATACTTCAAGCCACTGAACATTCCAATCAGCTTGAAGACCACATCCAAACCTACTTTGAACGAGGATTGTCATATTCACAAATCCACCATGCTCTAACAACAAGTCACGACTATACTCAATCTTTTCGAACGCTCGAAAGGAAGATCAAATCCATGAACCTGACACGGCGAACTGACGATTTGGACAACAACAAGGTTGACATTGATACGATCGTCTCTTGCATTCAGGAAATTCATCAAACCCCTGAAGGCCGGAACGTTGGTTACCGAAAGATGCGACAATTGTTACAGACGAAATATGGATTCAACATTCATAAGTGTGTTATGTCTTCTCTGTTATTATAATCCCGTGGAATTATTTCTGATATTTCTTTGTTTGGAATGAAGTCTCACAGTTGCATTGATCAACCGTACCCTTGATCCTGAAGGTGTTGATAACCGATCAAAAAGGGTTTTGAAGCGTCGCGTGTTCAACACCCCCGGCCCGAACTTCATTTGGTCTGCCGATTGCCACGACAAACTCAAGAAGTTTGGGATCACTCTCTATGGTTTTATCGATGCTTGGAGCCGGAAAATTTTGGGAATCTTTGTTCATGTCACCAACAACAACCCCCGACACATTGGATACTACTATCTCGAGCTTGTCAAACGTGAAGGTGGCATACCTCGCCGAACATCTACTGACAGGGGAACCGAAACAATCCACATGGCTGGCCACCAGATCAACCTCACCGAATCGTTCAATGCAGACTGCCCAGATCCGATTCAGTCACACCTGTTCACCAAGAGCACCCACAATCAGAAGATTGAGTGTCTATGGTCGCAGTTAATGAAGCAATACAACAGCGAGCTAATAAACCAACTCTTTCGGGCGGAGGAGGAATCGTACTATGATCCACAAGATCCTGTTGAGCAGTAAGTTTATTTAGCCACAGCTTCTCTGGTTTGGTAATAAACTGACCAACATTGCATGCATCAAAAGTCTTTTATTTATTTACTTATGGGTTCCACTTCTGCAAGAAAGTCTCGATCAATGGACGAGTAACTATAACAATTACAAACGTCGATGGGACAAGAAGAGCATGCTCCCAACTCGATGTAGTGCAGAATGGTGCTATCAATATCCCTCGGAGGTCGGAGGCGAACAAGGATTGATTCCAGTGCCAATATCTGCTGCCGAGGCCTTACAGCAGGCGTTCTATCCGGAGGGGACAGAATTAATGGAGACGTCTCCCAAATGGTTTGTCAAAGCCATCAAAGAGCTGGAAACCGGGATACATCTCACAATACCTGTTGTTGACATTCACAACGTTTGGGAGGTGTTCTCTCTTGTTCTTGAAGCTATCCGTTCTTTTGACTCGTCTTGGCTTTCAGACCCTACCAATGACCCTTCTGAATCTTTCTCTCATCGTGCCGCATCCTTTGATGAATAATATGGTTTCTTGGTCTTATTCATGCCTTTGATTCAAAATAACATAATTTCTGAATTTGTTACATAAGTCACTTGGATGCGTTGTCTTGAATGCATGTATCTGATTGATTATTTGTATTCAATAATCAATTTCAATTTGGGATGGATGATCAAGCAGTGGTAATTTATGTTTAAAATTGAAAATATGGAATTCATATGAAATAAAAGACATCATGATAAGGGGGATGGTAAATAAAGAACACTTTAATTGAAAAAGGTAACTATCAGGGATTCAGGATGGATATTTTTGGGATTTACATAAAGTCTTCTTATGTATCTCTTCAGGAGTAGCATCTTTTAATTTTTTAGCAACATTGGCAAGTCTCCTGTTGATTTGAAAAGAACAACCTTGGTGAGTCCAGGGGCGTTCTGGATCATTTTGAGAAGAAAGGGAAGGAGGAGGAGGAGTTGTACAATGTTCGAACTTGGTAGTCTGCCAAACAAGTTCAACAATGCCATTAGATTTTACAAAGTCAATCAGATAAGCATGCCTTGGAAATAAAAATCCATGACCTAATTCGGAGGAAGGAGGAGGAATGGGCCTCCCAGTTGACTTATCAATATAAGCAAATATACCATAGGTCCATCCATTTAAGTCGTTCTTATCTTGATGGGCTTGGTTGTAGAAATCGTTATATGTGACGGAAACATTTGCAGCGAATTTGAGGTGTTCACGATCTTCATTCTTCATTTCAGTCCACTCCTCCTGAGTCCAATTAGGGATTCCGTATTCTTGCATCAGGGCTTGATTTTCCAGGAAGGCAGTTCGAGAGAGAGCTTCCATCCTGCCAGCAAGG